ATAGACCAGAGACCACAGAGACCGCAGAGACCACATAGACCACAGAGACCACAGAGACCACAGAGACCACAGAGACCACAGAGACCGCAGAGACCACATAGACCGCAGAGACCACATAGACCACAGAGGCCGCAGTCCTGAAGTCCGAATCTGACCAGAACAAACCAGAACACGCACGTGCGGCGCGCGTCACCGTCTGTAGAACACATCTATCTGTTAATAACTGTGGAATACTGCACTCTGTGGCCATATGTTGGTTTTGCAGAGAAATGCATTCATTTCACTTGCAGCTGTGATGCAGCCTGAGCTTTATTAATCGTTACTATTTCTTTCTATTCTATGTGTCGCAAACTGTATGCGACACAGTTAGTGGATAAAGGTGAGTTATTCCTTAGTGCGGTGCATGCATACTCACAGTCCTGTAGTGTGTCCATGCCATTCTTCAGACTGGCACACACACAGCTCTGTCCTCTGCGCATACGCAGTCACATGTGCACACTCAAAGCATTCCCCTTTCCATCTGCTAAAGTGAGCTGTTGTGATTGATTTGTGGATTTGCTGTTTTTTCCCTCTATCATTTAAGTGAAATAATGTATGGAAGCAATCTGGCGACAGACATTTTGGAAAATCTATTTGAAATCATTTCAGCTGGAGCCATGGCAGTTTGTCTTCTTAGAGGAGAAGAGCAAAGTATAATTGTCTGCAGTCTAGTAAAACACAGTATAACTGCCATCACACTTGACTGAGCTTATAGCCAGCTAGTCCCATGGCCTCCAGAAGATAGAGCAGTTAATGTTCCCTTTTATTTTAGAGGATATGTCACTTGTATCTCAGATTTATGCCATGATACAGCAATTTTGTCCAAACAGATGGATAATGGTGTCACCAGCAGAAAGCCTTGTTTTTATTGAGTTTGAAGCGTATTGTTTAGATGGGGACTGTGCTGAACAGTTCTGCCAGCGCCTTTTCTCTTTATCTCTCTAATCTTGCCAGTATTAGATTTGATCATTTTTGTTTGAAGGAGGAAAATGTGTCTGTAATAGCTTCCTAATAGCAAACACGGGGGATACAAATCCAAGAAGCCTGTTCTGTAGCACTTCCATAAGCACCACTGATTTATAGAGGTCTTTATGACAGAAAGGAAAATGATGTGCTGCTGGTATAAATCAGGTGAGGAGTAGGAAATTGAACTTAGATATCATCTTGTCAGATGCTTAATGCTCTTCCCCCTGTCACATTCGATAGGACCAATTTGGAAAATCCTGCAGAGGTAAAAAGAAGACAATTAACAATGACAGTGTGGTAATAGATGGAGCTATAAAATGAACCTGCTGCCTGCAGGATGCTTTGTATGATTTCCACACAAGGCAGTGGCACTGTGCGTGGCCATTTAGTCTTTCCCATTTAGATTTTAGTGTTTTGTAAGCAGTGTTATGTAAAACTGCTGTTGAACAGATTGCTATGTATGCATCTTGGTGTTGATGGGTTGTATTCTACTGTTACAATCAATATTTTTGATGTGTTGATTGAAATTTATTTTACATACTGTGCCTGTAAACAATTCATTTAGAATATGTCTCGTGTCAATTTAACCCATGATTTAAGGTCTAAAGTGTTTGCAGTCTTTGCAAAGTTTTCTTTAGGGTTCATTACACAAATGCAAGATTATCAAAAATTGACCATTCCATGAGCGATTCCTGCAATAAATGCAATCTGTCACCAGCAAATCATGTACAGTTGTTTTGGTCATGCCCTAAGCTAGGACCGTTCTGGACGCATGTCTTTGACATCCTGACGAAGGCATAATGTTGTACTGTCGTTTCCAATTCTCTAGCTGCAATTTTTGGTACAGTATTTCTCCTTCCTCGGGTCTGCCAAAAGCGTTTAAAAGGGCGTTGCATTCACTACTCTTCTGGCCCGTAGGTTGATCTTGCTCAACTGGAAGCTTCCCAGTCCCCCATCACATGATCATTGGGTACGAGAGGTATTGGACAATCTGAAACTTGAGGTTTGCTTATTGGAACAGTTAAGTCTTTCTATTACACATGGGATCCTTTTCTGCGCTATATTGACTCTTTGAATATTTCTAATGGGAATGATTAGAATTTTTGTGTAGGTGCCATTTTCATTATCACTATGATGTGGTATGTGTACATTCTATTTACTAATATCATGTTTCATTGTGTGGGTGCGTGTAGGACGGTGGGAGGGGTGTTTGCATGCAGTTTATATCTTTGATTATGTGACACCTTATATTTATTTGTTGCCACTGCATGTTGGGTTATGTTGAAAAGTTGAATAAATAAATAAATAAATGAAGTGTTTGCAGTCTTTATAGGGGCACTGCCTGGAGCGAGAGTAAATGCCATCACTCAGTGTTGTAATGCGTTCACTACAGGACGCAGAATGACAATGCTCTCTGATCCCTGAATGTCACAGTGGTACAAACTACTGCTTTGCAATCAGCTTCATGAACATAAAGAAAAATAGATGTCCAGCCATCTGGGTATGTAGGCTTCAAATGACTCAATTTTTAAAAACTAATTTCTCGGAAACTGATGACCTTTACTTGAAAGGCTGCTAAACTTCATCAAGTGGCAATTCAAGCTCAAGTCGCTGAGAGATGTATGTGCACATTGCAGCTCATCAAGCCAAGCTCTTGTATCATCTAATTTGACTTTAATTCAGCTCTGAAGGAGATTGTGCTCTTATTACTGTGTAATGATACTGTTGTCAGGAGCCAATGGTGCTGGCACATACATATTAATCATATCATACTTACCATCTTTCAGTGCGGCCCGTAGACCAGCCTTCACTCCATTTACACAATGATCTTTTGCTGCTTGTGTATTATCAGATTCTTGTTCATTTCCGGTGGCATGTGTTAGTGGCACTTCAATCTTTCATGTTCTCCATCTTGAGTAAAAACTGGTAGGTCTGTCCTGTTAATACTCCTTTTTGTATTCTAGTAGCGTAGTTAAATGCATAAACTGCTGAAGGTTCTGGCCGCCTATTCGGGGTAGTATTCTAGAGGTGCTTACAGCTCGAAGGGCCCCAGTAAAATGGGTAAAGTGAGCATGCTTGGTGCCACTATGTCTATTTTATACTTATTCTGTTCTGCTCTCGGTTTTCAATATTCCCCGCCTTGCAAACAGCAGGCTATATTTCTCCTTTCGGGGGTTTCAGTTGGGGCCATGCTCTTATCATTTCTTCAGAAATTTGTTTCGCTGGATTTCAATCTTTGGCTGCAAGATATGACAAAACACAATATCAAGAACACTTATGTTTCTTATCTGACATTTTTTTCTGGGTATAAATAAAAGATCAGTATAAATTTAAGTCAAAGTGGCCTCGAATGCCCATGTGAAGGATGAGTTTGAAGAGAACTATGAACCATGGGACAGCTCCTCTGTACATTTTCATTGCTGGCTCAAAATTACCTTGGCACTGGGGCTTTGTGGGCCATTCATCATCCTTGAAAAATAATTAGTGTATTGATGATGGCAATCCAGATGCAATCCTTTTGAGAGCTTGACAACAATACAACAAACAATTGTTCTACATCGGTATTGCCTAAAAAGTGTCTGTTCAAGGGATAGACTACATGAAATAAGCAGCACTTTTCTCACAAAGATATTAATTACAAATATACTCAATCTATTTATCATTAAAGATGACAATGTGACATAACACAATAGTAATTATATTACTCACATCGCCTCGGGATCCTGTGTTATAAATCTTATGACATTGTCCATGTATACCGAACACCGTCCCAAAGGTATGATGGCATCCCAACATTGTCCTATTGATGTCCCATTTTTTTTCTGTTTGGCTCTTGTCAGAGGTCAGCCTCAAACAGCATGCAGTGGAATCAGGCGTTACTGTTGATGTCACATTGATGCATTACAAGGCCCAGGAGGTCAGGTCTCTGTAAACATACATTATCAAAACCCATAGAAGATGTGGGATTTTGACCCCCAATAGTTTAGGCCCCATCTACTGGGGGAAAGGGTCATGTGATGCCAGAGAGCAACTTTACAGCTGCAATGACTTTCTTGTTGCAAATGAAGAGGGTCAAGCAATCAAGCCTGGCTGGGCACCATGTCAGCGCCATTATCTTATGCTGTCTAAAATGATCAATGAGCCAAAATAAAATGATCACAATGTAAAATTGGCCTGGTAATGAAAATTGACTGTAGTAAATTTGTCCGGGGGAGGGGGGGGGTTAAAGAACTGCAATATCCCAAATGTGTAATTTAAACAAAACAACGGAAATATAAAGCTTTGTTTTGAGTGTCAAGCTATACTTAAGATACATGCAGTCACTCCTTGTGAAAAAAAAGAATAACCATAGCAACACAAAAAAGAGCCAAGGTTTGACATCAATTTAAAACATTTTAAAATTGGAATTTATTTCAAGAATAAAGGGAAAGCAACATTCACTGCAGCATTTTCTCCTGGTCTGAGACCATACCAGCATTTGTATTTAAATAACTTTCAGCAATACTGGAAGCCAGAAGGAAAGGCACATATAGGGGAACAGTACTGACATGAATGCATCCCAACCACTTAATAAATATGTGCATACATTCCTATTGTACCGATGTGTAAACATGTTGGCGCGATAATGGAACCCCATTTAACACTATTGACAAAAACAACATGAAAATAAATAGACATTACAATGAACTAAAGCGTCTTGTGAACAGACACTTATATAACAGGAGGAAAATCAAGCACATGCGGTAAACACCAAACAAAACAATAAATATACCCATGTTGAGGTTTGGAGAATAGGCTACAAAAAAGCTAGTTTGGCAAGTGCATGTGCTACAAGATTTATTGCTCAATTCTATCAAATAAGTACTAATGAAAGAATGTCCGTTAAATGATAATGGGATGCCTCGTCATAATGTTACTCCAGCTCATACAATTCATGTGTATCTCTAAAAGCAGATAGCTTAACTGAGATTCTTGTGTTGCCCTGTCGCCCTTCTTTATTCCACCTCCATGGCAGATTCATTGTGCTCAGCGTTTGGCTCCTCCGACTGCTCCTCTTGTGACTTGGGGCTGTTCTGGTCATCGGAGGCAGGGATGAGGGAGGTGGAAGGTGTCCCCGGCTCCTGAGTCTCTGCTTCATCGGACTCATCACCAAGTTTGCACTTCCCTAATGTAAAGAATAGGAAGAGTTATCAATGACAATTAGGGGTGTGACGATATATCGATATATATTGCAATACTTTCTCCCGCGATTCGATTATCGATATGCATTTGCAAAGTATTTATTTATTTTTTCATTTTTTTATTTTTATTAGTATCAATACTTAATATATGGCTACATTACGCATCTCCATTCCATTCATCATGAAATAAAGTGTATTTTTTCACATAACATTTTTATTTTATTTATGCCATAAATTGGCATATGGTATATTTCTGACCAATATATCGTTAATTGTCATATTGTGATAAAATCGTTATATTATTGTTATCATGAGCTTTGTATCGTATCATGAGGTACCCTTAGGTTCCCACCCCTAATGACAATGACAAGAAAGAGATTGTTTACATACAGGGGTTTATCTAAGTATGTTGCTTTTACCGACTAAAGGCACCTCCTCATCTACGTCAGCTGCAGGAGGAGGCGACTGCGGAGTGGGAGACATCATGTGCTCAGCTGGACTTTGTGGTAATCTAGGAGCCTGGGGCCGCATCTTCTTTGCAGGATTCAGAAAGTAACAATATGCACATCGGAAAGCTTGAAAAACAAAAAAAGATGCCATCAGTTTATGTCGCTGTGTATTATCTGTCAGACATAGATTAATAAACATGAATATAAAGCAATGACAAAACTGCCTGTGATGCACAAACCCTTTGGATTGATGTGCAGCACTGGTTTGCATATTCAATCTTACAGGGGTCGGCAGAGGAAAAGGCATTTAAGAGCCATATGATATACAACACTGCCAAGTGCTAGAGGGCAAACTAAGGCATAGAGTCTGATGGGGAATAACAAATAGTGTCTTACCAATGTACTCAAATTCCTCTTTTAGAGCCATACCATTATGAGACAGACACTGTTGACAGATAAGAGCATATCTATGACAGAAAGAGAAACATATTAAAATTGGCAATAAAACTATGTAAAAGTAATACAATTCACTATTCAGAGCTTAGAATGCGGATCCATTAAAGTGCATATAGAGCATTTATTTACATCAACTTTATCAAATGTGTTTTTCCTGATAGAAAGTAAATGAAGAGCAGTGCAACATCAGAATTACATGCGCAGAACTATTCTCTGCATGTTGTGTGCGTGTCTTTGCGAAACCTGTGCGTAACCTGTGCACGCAATAAATACACAGCTGAAGCTAAACTATGGAGCCTCAGGAAGTGTCCGTGTCTCCTCCGTGTCTCCCCTGTGTCTCCTCCTCAAATGCAACTAAACTCGCTAAATTAAAGCTGGGGTACGTCAATTTTCCCTTTCAATAACAGCTCATGTTTGTTGTTCCCAAAAGTAAAAGGATGTGAGCAAATCAAACAAATTTTAAGTACATTTGGTATGAATGACAATGTGTCATTACACTTGATGTCATTTAACTTCAATTGGAGTGGATAAAATGTTAAAAAACGCAATTAATCTTGAGTTAACTCACCATTTCTATGCGATTAATCAACTACAAAATTCAGCCCTAACATTAACGCAAGCCCATTTCAATTGCGGACGCGAGAAATGATTATGACTGAAAGACGCGTGGGTCATATTTTGGGCAGACGAGCGTCTGGCGGAACGGCACGTCAGCGCTCTTTATGCATGCCCCAAACATCTACCAAATGTCAGAAATCAGTCGCGCAACCTACGCGCCGCTGAGCAAGGCTTTTTGCTTCAAAAGTTGCATGCTGTGTCAAGGATTGGGGTCTATTCACCCCCTGGACCTTTCACACTTGGTATGGTCCACTCTTACCTTTTTCAGTGCACATGTGTGATACTTGGCTGTTCAGTAAAAGATTGCACGGCTGAAGTTTCCCTAAATTATACAGTGGGGCAAAAAAGTGTTTAGTCAGCCACCGATTGTGCAAGTTCTCCCACTTAAAATAATCACAGGTCTGTAATTTTCATCATAGGTACACTTCAACTGTGAGAGACAGAATGTGAAAAAAAAATCCAGGAATTCACATTGTAGGATTTTTAAAGAATTTATTTGTAAATTATGGTGGAAAATAAGTATTTGGTCACTTCAAACAAGGAAGATCTCTGGCTCTCACAGACCTGTAACTTCTTAAAGAAGCTCTTCTGTCCTCCACTCGTTACCTGTATTAATGGCACCTGTTTGAACTCGTTATCTGTATAAAAGACACCTGTCCAGAGCCTCAAACAGTCAGACTCCAAACTCCACTCTGGCCAAGACCAAAGAGCTGTCGAAGGACACCAGGAAAAGAATTGTAGACCTGCACCAGACTGGCAAGAGTGAATCTACAATAGGCAAGCAGCTTTGTGTCAACAAATCAACTGTGGGAGCAATTAACAGAAAATGGAAGACATACAAGACCACTGATAATCTCCCTCGATCTGGATCTCATCCCGTGGGGTCAAAATGATCATTAGAACGGTGATCAAATATCCCAGAACCACACAGGGGGACCTGGTGAATGACCTGCAGAGAGCTGGGACCACAGTAACAAAGGTTACCATCAGTAACACACTACAACGACAGGGAATCAAATCCTGCAGTGCCAGACGTGTCCCCCTGCTGAAGCCAGTGCATGTCCAGGCCCGTCTGAAGTTTGCCAGAGAGCACATGGATGATACAGCAGAGGATTGGGAGAATGTCATGTGGTCAGATGAAACCAAAGTATAATTGTTTGTTACAAACTCAACTCGTCGTGTTTGGAGAAAGAAGAACACCATACCTACTGAGAAGTATGGGGGTGGAAGCGTAATGCTTTGGGGCTGTTATTCTGCTAAGGGGACAGGACGACTGATCCGTGTTAAGGAATGAGTGAATGGGGCCATGCATCGTGAGATTTTGAGCCAAAACCTCCTTCCATCAGTGCTTTGAAGATGAAACGTGGCTAGGTATTCCAGCATGACAATGATCCCAAACACACGCTGTCCGGGCAACGAAGGAGTGGCCTAGCCAGTCTCCAGACCTCAACCCCATTGAAAATCTGTGGAGGGAGTTGAAAGTCCGTGTTCACTGCTCTCGAGAAGCTCTGCATGGAGGAATGGGCCAAAATACCAGCTACTGTGTGCACAAACCTGGTAAAGACCTATAGTAATCGTTTGACCTCTGTTATTGCCAACAAAGGTTATATTACAAAGTATAGAGTTGAATTTTCGTTAATGACCAAATACTTATTTTCCACCATAACTTACAAATAAATTCTTTAAAACTCCTACAATGTGAATTCCTGGATTTTTTTTTTTCACATTCTGTCTCTCACAGTTGAAGTGAACCTATGATGAAAATTAGACCTCTGTCATTATGTTAAGTGGGAGAACTTGCACAATTGGTGACTGACTAAATACTTTTTTGCCCCACTGTACATGGTCTCCGAGTCTCAATATAATGCATCACAGGGATGTTGGAGAAAACAACTCGTCGCACTCACTGCTGATTACTGGACGTTCACAAGGAATCACTTCTATCAAGAGTCCACTACCACAGCCCAAACAATGAAGTTATAGTTATTTTCACTGCACGTTATAGTCATGTACTCTGTAAACCCCAACTAACTGACTTGAATTGTCTAATAAAGGCTACTCTTTTTTGTTTGTTTTCATTCAAGTAATTTCTCCTACTGTACTGTATGTATGTTAGATATATACACTGTACAAAGAAAAAACAAAAGCAGGCAGAGATTGAGTAGTCTATATTAGACAATCCAAATACCGGCGCTTTCTTTCTGGAGAGGATTGGGTGAAGCTTTTTGCTTTTTGCCTAAACTAGATTATAGACAATAGTTTTATTTCAAAATAGAGCTTTTTGGCACAAAAGGGATTCCACAGCAAGCGTGGGTACCTGTTTCCAGGACCATCTCCAACCAGATACTCAATGACTCTGTCCACAGTGCCTCTTTCTCTTGGGAGAACAGGTCTGGCCAATGGTGGTCCAGGTGGATGCATGCCTGTTGTAGACAATAATTATTTGACATAGTTATTTCCAATAAGCACACAAAAACTTGCATGATTTATACTAAACTACTTCAAACGGGCTCTCAATTCAAACACATCTGAAATCCCCGTTAGATTATATTAATCACTGCTTACCAACACATCAAAAGTAATCATAGGAAGATGACTGGTCATTTATGTGAGCCTTGGCAGAGTCTTGGCACCCTGCTGGTTATTAATTTGCAAACATATGGAAACTCTGTGGTGACTCTTTGTATAAAATTGCTTTTCACTATATATTTCCAACAGAAACAGGCCATATCAAGTTATGTAAACCATTTGTGAGATACTCCCAGTGCCAAAGGCAATTTCTCCCAGCATTAAAAGACATTTAGTAAAATTTTAGCTCCATTGCCCAAAGAACAAACCCATGTCTGGCCAATTAATCATAGTTAATGTAATCTTTCTTTGGGCACATCTTGCGGATGGCATTGCACATAGCAATTACAGCCTGCTCCTTTCTCTGTAAATGCATTTTCTGAGACTTTGATCAACTTTGCATCTTTAGAATAAAGTAATCATAAATTATTATCAATGTTGTACATCTAATATCACAAAGGCCAAAGAACATAACATAAATAAACAATAATAATTGTAATAATTCCATCATTACACCTCTATTATCAGTTTCATTACCAGTAATACTTCAAGTCTGTATATACAATTATCAACTACAGAAACATGTAACACTGTTCTGATAACACACTGCAGGTCTTTGAGCAACAGGGGACAAAGAGGCAGAAGAGTAAATCACACCTTAATCGACCACATTATGATGTGGTCCCCCTGTGAGCAGGTACTCACCCACTCCTGGAACAGGTGTTCCTGGGGTCACAGGCCTCCTCATCAAGCTCTGCTGAGCAGCTACAGCCGACAGGCCTCTCTCTGGGGGTCCTCCAGGAGCAGAGAGAGAAGTTCGTCCAGAATGGGTGGGCCCAGAGGCAGGCGGAGGGCGGGCCGCAGCAATCCCAGGATTCGCCAACATCGTGGGAGTCTTCGGCACAATATTTCGATGCCTGAGTTCTAAAACAGCATGGCTTATTACTGTTGTTCAGGCATTTAGCAAAATGCATTGCTAACTAAAGCTTAAACTACCTTGTCCTGGTTTTGGAGTCATCATGGGCCCAGCTGGGGAGGACTCTAGTTCCTTTAGGAAGAAACCAAAAAAACGCAATGAATTTACGATATCCACAGTAGGTCTGTAACAAGTTAACAGATTAGTCATTTACCTAAATAATCATTCATTACAGCCCTAATCCACACCAATTGAAATAAAAAATGTAAATGACTAGTCAAATTATTCTAGTACAACCTACTGGTTGGTACAAAATTTTTGCAACTCAAATATTCACAAACTTACTTGACTGTACACCACAACAGCTGTGCCTGCACTCCTGATGTAACAGTACTTACTTTACATGTGACTAAAAAAACTGATATATATATTATATATATATATATAATATATATATATTAGGGCCGGGACTTTAACGCGTTAATTACGATTAATTAACGCCACAAAATTAGCGTGTTAAAAAAAATTGACGCATTTTAATTGCATATGTATTTTCCACCGCTGAACGTTCCTCGCGAATGAGTTTCAGACGGACCGATTATACTGGAGCGCCACCTGAACTCCGTGACTTTTCTTGTTCAAAAGTACATTATTACAAGCATAGACCAACTCTAACTCTGAGTGAGTTAGAGGCAGGAAAGAGTTCTGTGTGGAGCAATGGTGTGTGAGGAGGAGGAGAAGGAGCAGCAACTCCTGTGAGCGGAGGAGGAGCAGCGAGACACAGGTGTGTGAGCTGCTATTTGCTGATGTTTTAGTTCAGGGGTGCTCATTACGTCGATTGCGATCTACCAGTCGATCGCAAAGGTAGTATTGGAAGATCGCATTACATAAAAAAAATAAAAATAAATCCGTTTATGCATTTGCGTGTGGACAGAGGAGTTTTGCGCTTTTGCACGCGATAGTATGCCCCCAAAACAACAACAAACAAAACGTGCGACCTCTGATCACTGAAGCATGGATCATACTGCCTTAAAAACTGTACTGCAGCGGTTCACAGCAGCGATCCTCGATATCCACATCAGAGAGCAGCAAAGTGATCATGCACGCTCGAAAACAACCAAAACAGGAGCTAAACCAGGATCAAACCAGGGCTGAGGACTGGGGTCAATGCTTGTAAACATATGCCTTCACCATGGATCTATAATAACACGTCTTCACCCCGAGTTTCTACTATGACTGTAAGTGCCGCTACACTGTAAGTGACTACTACGATGACTGTAAGTGCAAGCTTTATAAGTAGCTTGCATGCTGAAAAAGTTTGAGCACCCCTGCTAGTTCGAATTAGAGTTTCGCTTTTCAGCCCGAGCCCGAGCAGGCCCGAGCCCGACCCGAGTACGGGCCGGGCTTGGGCCTCACTTCAGCGCTCAGCAGTCGGGCCGTTCCGGGCTCGGGCTCCTTTTTATTTTTCCTTTTTTTATTTTTTTTAATCAATATTTTTTATTATTTATGATTTTCATACATAATGATATGCATATATGTATTTTTTAATAATAATGTCCGTTGATTGACAACAAGTTATTAAAAAAGTTGATATATTTATCACCGTAACCGGCGTGTCCTACAGCCGCAGCAAGCCGTGAACACATCATCCCTGTTTTTCCTGTTGAATGCTACGGTCAACAGCGAACACACGGAACATAACAGAAATGGATCAGGTGGACGTACAAAACACATTCAGAAGTGGCTAAACTTGCAATTGGAAGGTGAGTGCGTACAACAAGGGAAATCAGATGTGTCGGGCTTCTGTTGGGCTCGGGCCTATTATACAACCTTAATTGGTCGGGCTTATACGGGCTCGGGCTTAGTATTAGCGGGCTCGGGCCGGGTCGGGCTTGATTTTTCAGGCCCGAACGAAACTCTAGTTCGAATGCACATATCAAAAACGTATTATAAGCTTTTGTACTCACTTCGAGTGCAGTGGATTTTGGGCTTAAGAAGTGTATGTTGTGGTCAGAGTGTGTGGAGGCGATGACTAAAACGTTATTTGATGGAAAGAAGTCTATCTGATCCTCCACAATTAATCATGTGTTTAAGTTTATGTATTCAGTCATTATTCAATGGTAAACTAAAAATCCATGTGAAAAAAATTACTTCACTGTTCTCAGGACAAATATTTATATGCGATTAATCGAGATTAATTAATTACAAAGCTTCTAATTAATTAGATTGATTTTTTTAAATCGCGACCCAGCCATAATATATATATTTATAAACTAATCAGTTTGTGTATATATAGAACTCACCTTTTACTGAAAGTAAAAGAGTGCATTAAATTGCCTTTATAACATTCCTATTGCCTGCTCAATATTCACACCTCCCCCTGTTCTACTCTAAGTATAAATACAGCTTTTGGGCCTCAGAGCTATGGTTGGACAGTCATTAAACAGCATCATGAGGCCAACCCTTGTGCTCCCCTTGGGTCAAAATGAACCTTAACCAATGATAAAAAGTAGAAAAGAAATACCCTAATTATAGTCTAAAGTTAGGTTGATTTTTTTTTAGGGCATTATTGTTATTATGTGACTGTGGCGGGTCAACGTGAGTAGCAAAAGTTTTAAAGCGGTAAGAATGGCTCAGTTGGTAGAGCATTGACCTTTGAGCCTGAAGGTTGTGGATTCGATCCTCACGAGACCTTCTCCCCCGACCTCATCTCTACTGAGACACTTAACCCCACTTTGCCTGAAGCCCCCGCTGAAAGACCAAGGCATGCTCTCATCGACAGAGCAGCCATCCTCCTGTGGACTCACCACCTGCAGGAGGATCAGTGAGGGGCTGCTTTGTGAATTCCAGAAATTGATTAATGGGAAGAAAATGGAGGGATGGATGAGTTCTACCAAGATTTCTCTAGCAAATGTCTCTAACACTGTTCAAACCATCATTCAGAAATGGAAGGAGTATGTACTTACTGTACCAACTAACTACTGTGCCTTGCGAAAGTATTCGGCCCCCTTGAACCTTTCAACATTTCAGGCTTCAAACATGAAGATATAAAATTTTAATTATTTGTCATGAATCAACAACAAGTGGGACACAATCGTGAAGTGGAACGAAATGTATTGGATAATTTAAACTTTTTTAACAAATAAAAAACTGAAAAGTAGGGCGTGCAATGTTATTCGGCCCCTTTACTTTCAGTGCAGCAAACTCACTCCAGAAGTTCAGTGAGGATCTTTGAATGATCCAATGTTGTCCTAAATGACTGATGATGATAAATAGAATGCACCTGTGTGTAATCAAGTCTCCGTATAAATGCACCTGCTCTTTGATAGTCTCAGGGTTCTGTTTAAAGCGCAGAGAGAACCATGAAGACAAAGGAACACACCAGGCAGGTCCGAGATACTGTTGTGGAGAAGTTTAAAGCCGGATTTGGATACAAAAAGATTTCCCAAGCTTTAAACATCTCAAGGAGCACTGTGCAAGCAATTATATTGAAATGGAAGGAGTATCAGACCACTGCAAATCTACCAAGACCCGGCCGTCCCTCCAAACTTTCATCTCAAACAAGGAGAAGACTGATCAGAGATGCAGCCAAGAGGCCCATGATCACTCTGGATGAACTGCAGATAACTACAGCTGAGGTGGGAGAGTCTGTCCATAGGACAACAATCAGTCGTGCACTGCACAAATCTGGCCTTTATGGAAGAGTGGCAAGAAGAAAGCCATTTCTCAAAGATATCCATAAAAAGTCTCGTTTAAAGTTTGCCACAAGCCACCTGGGAGACACACCAAACATGTGGAAGAAGGTGCTCTGGTCAGATGAAACCAAAATCGAACTTTTTGGTCACAATACAAAACGATATGTTTGGCGTAAAAGCAACACAGCTCATCACCCTGAACACACCATCCCCGCTGTCAAACATGGTGGTGGCAGCATCATGGTTTGGGCCTGCTTTTCTTCAGCAGGGACAGGGAAGATGGCTAAAATTGATGGGAAGATGGATGGAGCCAAATACAGGACCATTGTGGAAGAAAACCTGTTGGAGTCTGCAAAAGACCTGAGACTGGGGCGGAGATTTATCTTCCAACAGGACAATGATCCAAAACATAAAGCCAAATCTACAATGGAATGGTTCACAAATAGACGTATCCAGGTGTTAGAATGGCCAAGTCAAAGTCCAGACCTGAATCCAATCGAGAATCTGTGGAAAGAGCTGAAGACTGCTGTTCACAAACGCTCTCCATCCAACCTCACTGAGCTCGAGCTGTTTTGCAAGGAAGAATGGGCAAGAATTCCAGTCTCTCGATGTGCAAAACTGATAGAGACATACCCCAAGCGACTTGCAGCTGTAATTGCAGCAAAAGGTGGCGCTACAAAGTAGTTTCAGTTTTTTATTTGTTAAAAAAGTTTAAATTATCCAATAAATTTCGTTCCAACTTCACGATTGGGTCCCACTTGTTGATTCTTGACAATTTTTTTTTTATATATCTTTATGTTTGAAGCCTGAGATGTGGCGAAATGTTGAAAGGTTCAAGGGGGCCGAATACTTTCACAAGGCATTCTAAGTACATACTACAGATTCCCCAGCTCAGCAGCAGTACTTCGCAGCTCTCCTTGTTCGAGAGCGAAGGCAACCATGCTGAGTTGCAGGAATCTGTACATGGGACACAAATCTGGCCTTTATAGAAAAGCAAAAAGAAAGTAATTATTGAAAGGGCATAAGTATCCCGTTTGAAGTTTGCAGAAGTCATATGGGGGAAACACACATGGGGAAGAAGGTGCTTTGGTCAGATGAGACCAAATTAAATTAATTACCCAAAATTAACCTTTTGGTTCAAACACAAAACGTTATGTATAGCGCAAAACACTGCTCATCGTCCCAAGTGCTCCATCCCCAGTGTCAAATATGATGCAGGCAGCATCATGCTGCCTGCATCATGGAAATGGAATAAACTTTCCGTCTCAAGATGTGCAAATGTTGTGGAGCAGGGTTCTCCAACCTTTTTCGATTGGAGAGCTACTTTTATGAAACAGCATTGCCAGAGAGCTACTCATTTTAGCAGTCGTAATACAATTAGTCTTTATAATAACTACAGCTAATCAGAACACACATGCATAATATACTCTTATACTGTATAGTAGTCCTGCAGATTTATAGATACAATAGATATGTAATAACTCAAAAGTTAAGTATTCAGGATCATGTGTTTATTCATGAATCCTTAAGGCGCGTTCAGACCAAAAGCTTCAAAAAGCTTTTGACGCACTTCAACTGACGCCGGGATAGTTTTGTCATTTTGGTGCTTGAAGCTTTTGACGCGCCTGACGCCGGTGGGAGGAGCTTCTCTGTTGTCTGTAGTCAGGACAGCGGTGGATTTTTCAATGAGCAGCGAGCCTTTATTTGTTATATAAAAGCAAAATAACGTTGTTGTAGGGCTTCAACAAAACGTGTTTCTGGGTTCACCACAGACTTGAGAGGCTGCAGTGTTTGCAGTGTTTGCAGAGTTCCGTCATTTACTCCAGGAGCTGCGTACGGAGGAGTCTCGCTTTCAGCGGTATTTCCGTATGTCACTCGCCCAGTGTGAGTTCTCAAACCCCGGCTCTCGCCCGCCTCTCCCCGGCTCTCCCCGGCTCTCGCCCGCCTGGAGCTGCCTTGCTTTGAGCCAGACTCATCGTCAGCCTGTTCTTATTTTAAATAAACTACGTTTACTACACAGCATGTGTACAATGATTTTTGTTACTCAGAACGTTACTACTCATACAAATAATATTACTAATAACAATAATGACAATAAAACAGCAGCAGCAGATACATGACTTCTCTTCATGACAGAGACAGACCCTCTGCTGCTCCTCGTCTCCTGATTGGTTGAAGCCCGCGTCAAAGCTTCAAAAGCTCAGCTTTGCTCAGCTTCGGCGTCAAAGGGATTGTTGTGATACGCGAGCGTTTCACGCGTCAAAAGCTTCAAGTGAGCGCGTATTACGCGCGACTTTTGAAGCTTTTGACGCGCGCCAAGTGACGCCGGGCCCCTCGGCTTCACCTGACGCGCTTCACCATTCACTTTCAATGCAAACCTGACGCTTTTGACGCCGAAGTTAAGTCCGGTGTGAACGCCCCTTTAGGGATCTACCTGAAAAGGGGGTGGCGAGCTACTGGTAGCTCCCGGGCCGCAGGTTGGAGACCCCCTTTATAGAATCATACCCAACAATCATTCACAAAGTATTAACTCATGCTGTATGAATACTTGTGCAGGCCCAACTTTTCTGTTTTCTATGTATTTATTTATTTTTTATAACAGAATTGGGTATTCCTTTACTTTCAATTCACTGTGGTGTGTTACTTTTGTGTGAACTTTCAGTAAAAACAAAATGTGCAGAAGTTCTGATTTTCTATTAGCGTTTTCAACCAATTAAATATTTCATCGTAATTAATTGCATTAATTTCATAGTTAACATCTTCTGAGATAGAACAGAACTGACAGCACAAATAAATATATATACTAGTTATCAGCCTCCTTGATAATATTTATTGTATTGGGCCTGAAAAAAAATAACCCATGGTTGTCACTTTACCTACATGGATCCATGGAATTACAAAACATTACTTAGAACATTATCCATGGCCATTAAATGTAACTGCATTGTGTCAAGGTGTTATACGGAGCAATTGCTTAACTAAGGTGAACATTGCCTTTTCTTAAAACAATTGTTTATATTTAGTTCTTGGGCCTTAGTGGCGCTTTAAAACTTACCATTGTTTTCTTTGAATCTGGATCAAATCTCTCCAGGATCATTTTTGCAGTTTTATATGTTTCAGTTTCCATTACTTCCTCAAGCTGAAAATAAACAAACCATATAAGCACATATAGGTTATGTAACATTTCTTATCATCTTGTTCACAATGTTTCACTTTTCACTTGCGTGCCTAAAACTACGAACAGATAAGTTACAACAGCGAAACAATTTTACTATAAAAAGGAACTTAAGATTCACAAAATGTTTACTGGATGATATGAAGAATAATTACATTCACTACTTCGATAATGGAGAGTGAAAATCCATCAGCTCTAATTATTGGAAGTTATTAGACTTGACAGATGATGACAAGCAATTTCTCAGATGTATCCCCTTCTTGCTCCAAATGCCATTATTTAAAGTGACATTAAAGTAGTTAAGACACAGTGTAAATAGTGGTGGTATGGATTTTAGAATAACAAGTATTCTGCTAGTTAACACTGTGTGGATGAATTAAGTCTTTACTGTCCTTCAGAAGCATCCAACAAAGGTTCTGTGCACTTTAATATTATGCTTCTCTGCATTAACAAAGTGTTAACTAAAAATCCATAAAAAACTGACAGATGTAACTTACAATTTTTCTTTTTTGTCCCTTAAGATCCTCCAACTTTTCATCTACAGAAAGAAAAAATCAAGTTACAAAGTAATAATGCAACAGCAACAATTACTTTTTTCTTTGACAAATGTCCTTACTATTTCTTTCTGTTCTTCGAGAGAAAACAAACACGAGAAACTTTCTAAGTAACCAGACTCTACAGAAAAGAAAACAACAATATTAAAAACAATGGCAAGAGTGATCACCCAGCTTTGTCCTCATACTTACAGAAGAGGAAAAAACAAAAAAGGCAGACATAATATGAGCCGACCCATGAACTGCTCTGGTAGGAACCAAAAATACACTACCACACATGTTAAAAGGTAAAGTATTGAAGAGTAAAGCAGGAGGCGGCCAACCCAGATTTTCAGCTGTCGTTGATTTTGTGTACTGTATTCCTCAAGAGCCTGGATTTCCTGCAGAAAAATACATATATTAAAAAAAAAAAAAAAAAGGTGTATAGACAATTGTCTGAATTTTAAATATTTGTTTTGAATGTTTTTATTATTATTAATATTATTGTAGTAGTTTAACAGTAACTTAAATAACACTGACGACTATTAAATAAAAATGTAAAAATAACCATGGGGGAAATGAATATGTTGCAAGAGTTATAAAAGTTATAATCTTATTTCAGTTGGTGCCTCTTTTTATATTTTAAAAATGTAAACTGCATAATCAAGACGTTGGTCATTGGCCCTTAAAATAGACAGCAAACAGAAAGAGGTGCGCTGGTTGTTTCTGTGGTTCACATGTGTGACTGTCACTCCAACCACAAACTCTCTACGTACGAGTATGAGCCGAATGTGTGACAAATACGGTTTTCTTCTATACACAATTATGCAAAAAAGATGTATACTAAATTACTTTCATTACCCAAATAAAAGAAGTCCATAATTATTAACCAAAGAACACATGAATTTCCTAAAAGAACAAAATGTGTGACAATTGATATGGTCAGAATGAGTACATCACTACATTGACTTCTCCCATAAAACAAACTTATATTCTTCTTTATTGTGCAGAACAAATCAAGCCTCTAATTTCAATGTATGTGCTCTTGCTTGACCAGGTCTCAAAATAACACTAGCTTAGCAGCAAAGAGGACAGCAAAGCCCAAGCCATCTGCTAACCGGGAAATTATTTTACATTCAGGCCCACTTAGTCTGCGTTTTCTACGAGTTATGATTTCTCTGATCAAAACATTACCTTTTCAATTCCTTCCAGAACTTCTACAGTGGACTGTTTTGTCTAAAGGGATACAAATCAGAAATACATGTAAGAAATATTTACAGAGATGATAAACATTCTCAAACATCTGCCACAAGGAAAAAGGGAATACAAACTATATATTGAAGTTAAGCTTGTTCCAATTATTAAACGTAAACATTCACAATAGATGTGTTTATACTGAGTAAGAAATAAACGAATGAAGCAGGTTTTAAGTAGATGGCTGGCCAACACCATACTGTGGAAACGTAAAGGTACTTCATACACACCCTCCATCGGGATAAGACACCCCCCATGGTGCAGAATGTTTTTCAGTAAACTTGGCTGAAATAAAATACAGACATATCATTACAAAACAGTACAGTGTATGGTTTGGGCTAGTCTTATTTTAATACTACAATTATTACTTCTATTAATAAGAGTCGTATGAAAACACTCCTTAACTACATTCTTCACAACTGTGTCATTTCTTTTATTGCACAGGAAAACTAGAAATACAGGAGTTATAGCTTGGGGCTACATTTATCAGTGCACTTGTGCATCCCATAAGCTTTAGAGTTCACGACAGGTACCACACATCAGGTTTTACCAACATATTCCCAATGTGATCTGCATAGTGCCGAAAGTAAAATGTGAGATGACAGGATTAGGTTAACAATGCTAGCAAAGTTAGCAAACTTATGTTACAGTCAAAGCAGAGAGTCATTGACCAATGCACGTTGTGGTCATATCAATACAGGTTTGCCGTCTCTAATGTTTACATAGTATCATCCATGAGGTAAGTTCTCCATTGTAATATTCAATAAATAGTTAACCCTTGGCATTAGCATAGTCTACCGGCTGGGATGGAAGCTAGCGTTAGCTGTTAACTTTGCGAGTTAGCTAGCTAACGTTAGCCAGACACGCTAGCATAATAGTAACTTTTGCAACATTTTTAGGTTTAAGGAGTGATGCAAGGTGCATCAATGTAATTGGTAATGCAAAATAATTACCTTCTAAAGGCTGCTTGTGGTTCAGGATCGCTCAGTAACTCCTGTCTGTACATGCAGTACAGAAGAGGGTGTGTGGAACAAGATGGGGGAGTGGACTGTCCGCTGTAACCATGGGTGAAACAGCTGCGTGGCTTCAGCAGTGTTAGGTCACTTACTCAAATATGGCAATATAGTTATATTACTAGTCACTAGGATAACATTTGAAATTTAAAATGTATCTGAGTGTACAGTGCATTGAACGCCCAGAAGTTTTATAATGTTCTCAAATAATTGCAAACAGCGTGGAAAACAAAGAAAATGTGTCTCATATTAAGTCTGCGTGTACTTTGATTGTAACTAATAATATTTCCGTTTTCCTCTTTTGCAATTAGTTACTTATTGTTCTTTTTGTTATAATAGTGTACATGAATCAACATGTGTCCATGTGAATAAGCCAGATTTAGTCATGGAGGCTATCTGTCGCATGGAAGGTTGATGTTACAGCCATCAACAAACACACAGCAGAACAGTTATTAAAACAAGAACATGCATGTGAAATTCAGATCCTGTCTGACCTCTGAAGCTAATCAGTCCAGGGCCTGGTTTGTACTGCAATGGAATACCTCTGGGAACAGCAGGTGCCACAGCAACTGCGGCTGTAAAATGCCAAACTGCCATTGTGTCCTCCGGCAAGACACTTCACCCACATTACTTAGAATGAGTATTATGTGTGTGTGAATGATTGGTGGTGGTCGGAGGGACCAATGGCACATACTGGTTGCCTCTCTTAAGTGTGCCCCAGGGCAGTTGTGGCTACAGTCGCAGTTTATCACCACTGTGTATGGAGTGAATGAAAAATGGCATGTGGCGTGTCTTTGAGTGTCTGAAAAACCGATGCATCATTATTATTAAGAACATCAACTGAAACACAGATTATTAGTTCACAGTTCACACTGTGACTGTAGCTTTGAATGTTCATGTGCCTCAGCTTGAAAAACTTTGTGAAGGTTGGAATGTTCCATATGAGCTGGGACAGTGTTCCACAAGTGTGCGGCTCTCACAGAGAAGCTCATCTGTCCAAATCTTGTCTTTCTAAATGGAACATTACAGTCCCCTCTGTGCCTGTGTGCCTGCCTTACACTCTGCTTCACATGGATAAACTCTTGAAGAGGACCTGTTCCATGAATAATTTAATACACAATAAATCTAATGGATTTCAATTATATTTAGAAGAGCAATGTGAATGAATGTTAATCCCAATTTTTGGGTCCTTTTATCAATCGCTGCACTCACACTGTTATCTAAGATCTGTGCCTAACTTTAAATGTCCCACTTTGGTAGATGATGTGCTGAGAGTTTTAGCTAGTGGGAGACAAGCTCCTGGAGGGGTGCATTCAGTTGAATGACCAAATCTGGAAAAATAGTTGATTTTCCAGATTTTGGTAAATTTCCCATGAACACAGCATGGGTTGTTTCTGCCATCGTTATGGCAACACTGTAAAAAAGTAGGCATAGGTCTCAATCACTTTTTTGACCGTGATGTCAAAACAGGATTTGGTGCAAAATGTACAACTTCAGCAAAAACTAGTTTACCCCCCTCGCACCATATAGGTAGTGCACCCGCCAGCTGCATCATAATTCACTGTCCATCCTTCCTATCTTGCAAGCAAAATTTTACCTCGTCCACAGTCATATCTCCAATGTTCAATGCTCTCTTCATGCTAGCATTCCATTCACACTGTGGTCTACCTCTTGGTCTATTACCACTCATGCAACTATTCATCACTCTCTTGAGCACAATCCTCTCCTCCTTCCTACTTTATCTGTCTTCATTATTAGGATTTTCTCTGTAATCATTGCTATTCACCTGTTGTACCATTGTCTGTTTCACGGCTTGACGATGGGACCCCTGAACCCGGCCTCCTCCATTGGTCTGTGGGCTTGTGGGCTGCACCCTTCCCTGCTTGGGAGATGCTTCAGTCCTTCATCGCACCTGTCCTCGTTCTGCTGCCTGAGTCCTACACCGTGTGGCCTTGGTCCTCGTTCTGTAGACTGGTGTCACATGACCAACGTAAGGATCAACGCAAGACCCTTGCGCTACCACCCGTGCACCAACGGATTTTTCTAACTTTGCAGACGGCAGCGCAGAGAAGGTTTGTTGTGATTGGCCCGTCTGTGATTACGTTTTGGATGGAAGCAGGGAGCGGCTGTGGGGGAACATGGACGAGGCACTTGTGAGCAGATTGCTTCGTCTATAGCACTCAGTCGCAACACTTTTTCTTTCAATCAAAATTCTTCCATACAACTTTCCAACTCAACAGACTAATTATTCCGCTATAATTCCCACATTCAAAGTTATCATCCTGCTCCTTATAAAGCGGTACAATACATGCCTCACATCCTTCACTTGGAACCATACAATTCGTAGAACATGAATTAAACCGTCTCACTAACCATGCAATCACTGTCACAGCCCTCTTTTAACACATTCAGCAGCACAATCATCCATACCAGACACTTTACCCTCTTTCAACCTCTTCACGGCATTGCTCACTTACTCCTTACTAATACTTCTATAATTCAGGTCACCCATTCTTCTTTTCCCATCTAATCTCATATTGCAACCACTTTTGCTTCCCTGTCATCCACCTCATTAAGAAGTCTATCAAAAAACTCCTTTAAGTTTAAGTGGCTTCCACTGACTCTGTACTCTTAGGTGCAGATAAAAAAGGCTTCTATCATGATGCCATGAAACAGACAATGGGACAGTAGGTGAATAGCAATGAACAGACTACAGATGAAGTCATAATGATTACAGATAAAGTAGGAAAGAGAAGAGGATAGTGCTCAACCTTACCTTTCCTATAGCAAAGTGTCTCCAGGAGCTGCCTGGACTGGGAATATGTTATTTTACTTAAAGTTTTATTTCTAAGTCCTACCTACCTAGTTTAGTTTAATTTGTTAAGGACAATGTGCAGTTGCACCCCCTGGAACACAGTCTCCATGTAAACGGGAGGTGGCAACCGACACCCAACTATCTTGTTTTACTGCCGCAACGTCTCCGTCTAAACGGGGCCTTAGTGTCAATACACATTTGAAGTCTCCCCAAAATAAAACTGAAGTCACAAGTCCTATAAAAATAATAAGTGCCACCCCCAGACATTCACCAGAGATCTGGAAGAGCCATGTCTCTTCACCACAGTTATTGTCTCAACACGTGGTTAATAAAGAGAAGCCCACCAGTGATGTCGAACTGGATTTTCTATTTGGAAAATCTCCAATTCAACTAGAGTGGAAGGAGTGAGTCATCTCCAAACTCGAGAAAATATCTGCGGAATTTGCACGTCACAACCTTGACTTTGAATGTACAGGCCATGTGAAACATCACGTCCGCCTCAGCGACGAGACCATTCAGCGCCTCATGGAGAAGTGCCTTACTGAGGTCTTAGCGTTTATCGACAACTTGATTATCTTCTCAGACTCCTCATAAGAACATTAAGCTGTCTGTTGAGAGTCCTCTGCCCTCTTCGCAATTTTGGCTTGAGCTGTCAGCAGAGACGTGCAGGTTTTTCAAACTTCAGTGTGCTATCTCGGCCATATTGTTTCAAAGGACGGGGTTGAGACAGATCCTGACAAGGTAAATGCCTTAGAATCCTGGCCAGTTCCAAAAACCCTGAATGAACTGAGGTCCTTCTTAGGATTTGCTGGTTACAACTGCAGGTTTATCAATAGCTACGCTTTGGTGGCCAAGCCGTTAAATGATTTGACCAAGAGATATGCTCCAACCCAAGCTATCCAACTCATAAACTGGACATTCTGGCTTTAAAATGTAGTGTGAGTGAAAAATCCATAATTATCTTTATGGAACCAAGTTTATTGTAGTAACAGACAACCATCCATTAACTTACATCTAGACTTGCTTTAGCTACTTACGACTTTAAGTTGCGGTATCGTGCAGGCAGCCATAACAAGGATGCAGATGCTCTGTTGGAAATGGTCAGACATTTCACAGATGAACATGTGTATAATCCTGGCAGTACTGTCGAGTTGTCTCCAGATGTTGTCACCTTTATATGCAACAGCTGTCTGTTGAGGGGCCAAAGACCTAAAGAGTCCACCAGAAACTGCATGACACTGGTTGAGTCACCAAGTATGTCTGTCAGGGTCATTCCAGATGTCTACACCAGTGGGGGGCGGGTCCCGGCTCAAAAGTGGCCAAAATGACGTGCGCTGACATGCTTGCAATACCACCCCGGGCCGATGGGGGTGAACCCGGAATAAGAATTAGCCAATGCTAACATATAGCATTTGCTGACCACTCAAAA